GGGGAAGAGTTGAAGCAGACTGTTTTCTCACGACTGCACACAGAATTCAGCCTCTGAATGAAAATCTCGTTTGTGATGGACACCAGCTTGGAATATAGCCTAAATATGTTTCATATTCAAAGCAGACTAGGATTCCATTTCGTTCACTGATAACTGTGGGAAAATGCTTCAAAAAACAAGCAAAGCTGGGCAAGCCGAGACATGTGCCTGAACTTCTATGAGGAGGCTCCATTGGCCCAAACCATTTTGGGTTAATATTTCATGAAAGTTACGTGTTATTTGTTACTATTCTAGACAAAGTCTGTCAACTTGAAAGAAACTCTGAAAATAAAACACAGCATGAACATTTTAACATTATTTAAAGCAGATTTAAGAAGTCCCTACACAAGTCAGAGGTAAAAAAAAAAAAAATGAAAACAAAAAAACCACACAAACAAAATCAGAATAGAACTCAAAGTCACATTACAGATATAGATTGCACTATCTTGGGTGCTTCCTCACTGGTTTAATTACCAACATTGAGAAGCACAAGCACAACATGTTACTGCAAGCTTGAAAAAAATATTATAGAGAATGAATTATGGCAACTAGCACTACTTCCAATAAAATTAGGGATGTTTTCCTTTAGGACTTGCATAATTGTTTTGGAAGATATTTTGTCTAAACTCATAGCAACAGTTCCCGGTTGGTTCTCAGGACTGTTTACCAACACACCTAGCCCTTAAGGAAAGGAAAGGCTGAATCCTAGCTCTAAGTGCTACTGTTGCTAGATACTTGCGTGACCACTTTCCAGCACCACACAGGAGTTTGTTTAAAGAGAGAAGACGCTTCTGCTTGACTGGATGGAAAAAAAAAATGCAGGGAGAATAGACCTACCCTAGCAATTCCCTTGTTTCTATGTGCCCCCTCTCACCTCATCTGAATATTTTAAGTGAAGAATCCCTGTCCTGAAAAGGGACATACAAAGAATGGCAGTTTAATCTCTTGTCTCTGTCTCTCTCAGCACGGGGCAGAGAAAGGACAAGACTTTGTGTTCAAGATGGAACACTTCTAAATACAAGGCACACAGACACCCACAGCCCCACAACAACAGTAGAAAGCCCCCCTCAACAATCCAACTATTGCATACCTCTAGCCAATTCCTCCTGCAAAAAAACAAAACAAAACAGAAACCCAGTTGTGTGCAAAGACTGCACTGTCGAGATGTTTTAAAAGTGCGTATCATCCCCACTCTATAGATCAACAATTCAGATATCTCAGGAATGACTACTTACAACACAGAGGTTTAAGTTTTCCCATGCCCATAGATGACCTCTGCCCATCTTTGAATAAATACATATATCCAGACACAAGAATTCCACATCATGCACCTTATTCCATCAAAGCAATGACCTAGGCAACAAGGCAGCAGTGAACTTTCCAGAGTCACACCCAATTAGCCACTGTAAACCTGAGCTTGACCGTGAGGCAGGGATTCTGGCTTGAGAGAAAAGGCAGCTTGAAAGGAACAGCAAGCCGGCACCCTTTGCAGAACATCCACAGTCTGCTCAGCTCAGAGGACTGAAAGGCAGTATGGACAACTTTAAACAAAACTCCTATGAGTTAAGCTGTGAGAGGATGGAAATGGTTAAGTTCACACTCCAAAAAACAAAGAATGCACCAACGCGCAAGAGCTATTTTCCTCAATGAAAAGACACTGATTTAGTCTTCATCCATTGAGAATACAACTCAATAAAGACTGTGAAGACTCTGAAATCCATCAGAAACTGTCCCTTTTAAGGGTCTGAATGGGCAGTGCAACCTCTTTTCTAGTTATTTAAATGAAATACTAGCAGCTCCAGGTAAGCAGAGGGCATTTAAAGCTCTCAGCTAGATTACCTTCTTCCTTCCCTTCATCCAGAAAAGAAGTGTTTTTGTGCTTTGGCTTCTAAAGGCATTCTGCGAGTCAGCGGGACAGGGCAAGATTAAAATATCAGGCACATTAGTGAAAGGACTCCCTCCTTTTTGAAAGAGGCTGCAACTAGTCAAACTTCTCTCCCTCCTGCCCTTGTGGTTAAATCATGCAAGCGCTTTGCTGAGCATGTGAAACCATGACTAGACAAATGCAGTGGGAAGTCTGCATTCTAAATGCTGTGCTTGCTCCTCCTCTGCTAAACAAGGAGAGCAGGTTAAGCCCAGCAATGTTCTCCTCACGCTCTGCCAGCCACACACAGCTGTGAAGACCAGTTTGAGAACCAGTGCTCGCACCCTGCCTGCATCCTAGGGAAGAAGGGTAAGGGACTGGCATGCTGCCACAGCAAATTGCCAAGAGCTCTGGCAATCCCTCCTCCTTTCTAGCTGGAAGGGGGTGAGATAGGGAAGAGGGAAACTGAGGCGTATTTCAAAGTGCCCAAGGGCCAGGGAGGAGGGCATCTAAGAAGAGTTAAGGCTAGTCACAAAACCACTTCCTCTAAATGACTCTCACTTGGGTACCCCTGTTGCCACATGACAAGTCACAATGACGCTATACAGATGTGTCACAACGTCATGCCATGGTCAGCCAATCACCTTTGACAACAGAATATTCCTTCAAAGGCGTCGAAGATGACTAGTTCCTCATCCAGATGAGATACAGACTTACGTGGGAAAAGAAAGGAAACAACCTAACCCTCTTAAGCCTTTGTCAAATGCAACATCATCAGGAAGCTCTTCTTTGGGCCAGCCTACATAAGGATGAGGCAACAACCTATAAAGCTACTACCCTTTCAACCCGGTGCATATAAACAGATTCTAAGCTGTAATGATCTCGCCCCTCAGAGTCCACAGCCAAAAGCTAGGCTGAACCTCAAACAGGCAGCCCAGCCAGGAGCCTCATCAGAATATGCCCACACGAAAACAGAGCACACTGTTCCTTTAGTTTTCATTTTGAGTAGTTTCTTCATTGCTGTTAGTACCGGTAAACACTTTATTGCCACATAAAGGAGAAGAGATGAAAACAAATTTAACCATACTAGCAGCTTCCAGGAGAGACTCCCCCTTCCCCCCCACCCCCTTCTGCCTTGGCACAAGCCAAGCCAGTAACCAAAGTCAAGACCTTCTCTGCGATACAACTGCCACCCTCCTACCAAGTGATGAAGGACACAAAAGTACCGCTATCCAAACTATGCATACGCTTAAGCATCCAGTAAACCACGCTGATCTCTGATCTGGCAAGCCTGCTGGAATAATGAGTATCCTGTGAATACGTAATGTGCTGAAGTTGCCATTGTGTGAAGTAAGTCCACGGTTTGTCTGGGAGCCGAGCAATGCTGAGTCTACTGCTGCTTCCTGTTGCTTGTCCTGTATTAGCATTATTTTTGGATAGGCCCCATTATGTTCTGTAATCCTCACTGCAGTCAGTATGGCCACACTATTGTTCTTGGTTAATATTAGCAGTCAATGCCTCTGTCTGGGTGGCCAAACTACAATGTATTCCAATCATAAAACTTGCATGCATTAACCAAACAATGCACAGGGATAGAGTGGGGAAACTTGGGATCTTCGCTCCTCCCCTCCTTAAAAAACAAACAAAAAAAAAACCCATCACAGAGAAAAGTATAGCATGTCTTTTTTCTTTTATATTTCTTTTTAAACTAATGATTTTA